CCCACGCTGTCGTGTTGCGTTGGTGTGCCGGACAAAATGACGATTGGCTCGTCCGATTGTGCAGATGCATTTGTCGGTGCGTGTGGTGGCGCTGGAATGTTCACCGTGGATTGCTAACGTGCGGAGTCACGTTCTGCCGTGAGCGTCGCAATTTCGAGCGCCGAATCTTCAAGTTGGCGCACCAGACGGTCAAGCTGCTCATGCGTCAATGTGGCGAGCGTGAATTCGGCCATGGCGGGGGTGTCGGGCGAGCTCAGCGAGAGCCTCGGTCGTGGCCGTGCGTGCTTACGAGAGAGCACTACGAGCGGCGGTGCTGTGTCGCTGAGGGACGTCTACCCCCCCAAAAAATTGAGATAGTGGGGAAGCGAAGGTTTGGGTGCGGACCGAGAGGAGATCGTAGGCTCTGAATACCAAGTGTTACGAGTGCAATTGAGTGAACGAACGAGAATTGCACTATCGAAGCAAGAGTACAATGAGCGAAGAATATATAGCGAAACTACAGTGGTAACGGTAATGGACTGTGGTTGTCGCGCGACGGGCCTGGGACTGAGGTTGGGAAAAGTGTTGAAGCGGAGGCCCGGAGCGCGGGTTACCCGCCGAGCCGTGAGGTCGGGGTGCGACGTGCGAAGGTGGCGGGCGGATTGTCGATGCGAGGATTGCGAGTGGTAACGGTGCTAACTGTGGTGCTATAGTGATGTACGCGTTGAGTAGGGATGCGAAGTAAGGAAAAGGAATTTTCCTTACAGTAGCACATCACAAAACAATTCAGTCATGAATTTCTAAGGACGCGGTAAAAGTGTTCGTTCGGGGGGAAATCGATCCGGTCACCGCACTGAAACCTCGTGTTTTGTATACAAAAGATACACAACCGTTTATAACCGTGCTAAAAAATGAATCTGAGGCGATCGATTCTCCACTTTTACCGCGTCCTAAGGAATAGAAGTGTATTCCCAGCTGCAAAGCGACACCCACGGTACACTTCCATCGGGTCGGGAAAAAATTCTCCTCGGAGACCACTGTAGGGGCTTGCTTCACTAGTGGCGCAAGCTCTGGTCTGAAATCGAACTTCTAGATTGCTGATCGAATATCGTTGCTATTTTGACCAACGGGAGCTTCGCTTCTTCATCCTTTATGTCACCGACTCATGGCAAGACAAATTATTTCTTCACAAAACACACAAATCTTCGCTACTACGGCACCCGACTTTGCAAAGGTGTCTGTACAGCGCCATATCTAGCTCCTTTAAATATTATCAGGCAACCTAAAGTACTATCCTGGATGAGCAACAGGAAGGATCGTACTGCCTCCTAATTCATTCAGGCGGTGCTTTAGCTGATTCCGCGGCGTGTTGTCAGATGCCGCACGCGTGCCATCAACAACTTAAACTTCCGCCGTAGGTCATCTGCATTGGCGTGCATAATCCAGCCTCCTTTCCTATTAAAGCACCTGTTTCGATACCGAACCTGCGTGCGTTCCGCAGCTAATCAACCCTCCGTGCTTTCTTTAGCCAAGGGAGCGCCTGTACACATACTCTCTCTTCCCGCCGCTGCGCGCTTGGCTCGGCACGGAAGCAATGCCGTTAGGGTTGGAGCTAGTGGGCCGCGCCGTCATGCGACGCGCGCGGCGAGGGCTGTTCGCCGGCAAGGAGGTGAAATTCGGCAACAAAGTCAGCGAGGACGGCGGGAACAAGTAAGTCGGAGACAAGTCAACTATTAAGACTCAGGAATCTCTCTAGAGTGTGTCAAGGGCTGTTCGCGGGCAAGGGGGTCAAGTTCGGCAACAGATTTTGCGAGGATCCCACCTAGTGTGTCAGGGAATATGTCAAAATCGACAGTACATGACCCAGTTGACTTTAGCTAGCGTTTTAGGGAATTCTAGAAAACCAACGGTTCTCCAAGAAAGCTAGCGAGGACGGAGGGAATGAGTAAGTCAACCGTTTAGGGGAATGAGTAAGTAAACCGTTTATTCTGCACACCAGGGAGAGGTTAAGGTTGGGAACGAAGGTATTCCGTCGCTGACAGGGACGGGTCGAGTTCGGGAACAAAAGCAGCGAACGGGGAGGCAACAAATGCATCAGTCAGTGTTATACTTGGCTGGCAGCACAGTACGTCCTTGGTCATTCCGTCTGAACCTGCATGAGTTTTTTGGAATTCTCAAAAATCGCATCGGGAACAAAGGCAACGAATGCGGAGGCAACAAATGCATCAGATGATGTTCTACTTGGCAGCACACCACGTCCTTGGTCGCTCCGTCTGCACCTGCTATATTCGTGCGACTTTTGAGAACCTTGGTCGCTCCGTCTGCACCTGCTATATTCGTGCGACTTTTGAGAACCTTGGTCGCTCCGTCTGCACCTGCCTTTGCTGACTTCCGCACTTCCTTCAACTAAAAGACTTCACTGGGCAGGTTACTCTTGAGAATTCTCAAAAGTGACTTGTACTGCCCAGGGTACCGTGAGTTGTTTAGTGCCTGGTCGTGTACTGCCTGGTCGTGTACTGCCAGGTCGTGTACTGCCAGGTCGTGTACTGCCTGCCAGGTCGTGTACTGCCTGCCAGGTCGTGTACTGCCGGATTGTGTACTTCTGGTGTTCACATCCTTAGTAAAAGTCCAGTACTTTTAAGCTTTCTCTCAGGTCAAGTACTGCCGGATTGTGTACTTCTGGTGTTCTCATCCTAGTCCAGTACTTTTAAGCTTTCTCTCAGGTCAAGTACTGCCGGATTGTGTACTTCTGGTGTTCTCATCCTAGTCCAGTACTTTTAAGCTTTCTCTCAGGTCAAGTACTGCCGGATTGTGTACTTCTGGTGTTCTCATCCTAGTCCAGTACTTTTAAGCCTTCTCTCAGGTCAAGTACTGCCGGATTTGTTCCTCGTCTCCTCGCCCTCCCCTGCCTACTGATCCCCTCTTCCTATCTGGACCAGTGCACGGTCTCTTGTCTCACTTCTCCATGGTACCACTCCCATCATCCCTTTATCCCTGTAGCCGGCAGAACAAACGTCCTCACAGATTCACCTTGATACTGTCATCGAAATGCGTGCTGTGCTGTCACATTGTTTCCCACTCTCACCCTCCCGTCTCTCCCTTCCCTCGCTTCCCTCTCCCCCACGCCCTCCCAACCCAACCCCACTCTCCCAAACTATGGGCAGAACGTGGCGTATGTGGAAACCCAACGTGCAGTACAAGCGCCTCTACAGCTTCGCCCTCGACCGATCCCTTGCATTCGGTGCTGCCACATCATTCACCCTGACCTCTTTCCCCTCTTCCTGCCCCCACCACTCACCACCCCTCCCCTTTCAAACCGCACAGAACACGGCGCATGTGGAAGCCCAACGTGCAGTACAAGCGCCTCTACAGCTTCGCCCTGGACAGATTCATCCAGTACCGCGTTACCACGTACGCCCTCCGCTGCATAGTCAAGGTGGGCGGCATCGACGAGTATCTTCTGCTTACACTCCCCTCTTCCTTTTTTGTGGCCCGCCCCACCCCTCTTCTCCCCCCCGTTCCCGTCCACACCGCACAGAACACGGCGCATGTGGAAGCCAAACGTGCAGTACAAGCGCCTCTACAGCTTCGCCCTGGACAAATTCATCCAGTTCCGGGTTACCACGTATGCCCTTCGGTGCATAGACAAGGTGGGCGGCATCGACGAGTATCTTCTGCACACGCCGGAAAAGAAAGTGAATTCTGATGTGGGGTTGGTATGGAAAGGAAGGATCCAGGAAGCTCTCCGTGCTCAATCTGCGGCTGTTGAAGCAGCACCAGCCACTGGTGGGACTTAGCTAAGTGTTGGAACAAAATTCTGGAACTCTAGACTGCAAAGAAATAATTAATAAACCATGAATGATTTGTTTCGTCTGCCAAGTTGCCAACTGCACTGTTGTGATTGCGGTGCGGTGGGATGGGATTAGCTCAGCTCTAAAAGTTGCTGGTACCGTAGCTACAGTCCCATTCAAGATGCCTAGTGTTTTGGAATATTTCCATTTTCTGACTAGAAAGTGTCTGTTGCCATTGCTTTTGGGGTGCCTCAGAATGTTTGTTACACAAAGTGTAGTGATTGCAGTGCAGTGGTCGTGGGCAGGCGGAGAGTTATTAGAAAAGGGCTGCAGAGCAGTGCTTCTGCTGGCGGGCCAGCACCCCGTTGTGAAACTTGGCAAGGTGGTGGCGGTCGGCAGGGGAGAGAGTAGAGGGCAGCATTCAAGGGGTGCTAGCCTGGCCTGGGTCTGCAGTGCAGCGCAGCACTGCAGTGCTCCTGGCGGGCCAGCACCCTGTTGTGAAACTTTGCCAGGTGGTGGTGGTCGGCAGGGGAGAGGCGGAGAGGGGGCGTGGAGCGAGGTGCACGAAGGAGGCGAAAGAGGACAGCAGTAGAGTGCTTGCGGTTAGGGGGTGTACGGGGGAGAAGCAGGGGAGGAGGAGACGAGGGAGAGAGAGGGGGGGGGGGGGGGGGGGGGGAGGGGGTGTTGTCAGCAGTGCAGAGCAGTGCTTGTGGCGGGCCAGCACCCCGTCATGGTACTTGGTGAGGGGAGGAGAAGAGGTGAGCGAAAGGGGAGAGGAGAAGGTCGGCAAGGGAGGGGAGGAGAGGCGGTGCTGAGCGAAAGGCAGGAGGGAGGAGAAGAGAACAGCCGAGCAGTGCTTGTGGTAAGAGGGAAGGGATGAGGGTGGAGGAAGAGGGGGGGCGGGGTCAGCAGTGCAGTGCAGCAGAGCAGTGTTTCTGGCGAGCCAGCACCCCGTCATGGTACTTGCCAAGTACTACTTGGTGAGGCGGTGGCGGTCGGCAGGGGAGAGGAGGGGAGGGGAGATGGGGAGGTGCGGGGCGAGGAGCAGGAGAAGAATACAGCAGTCTAGTGCAGTGCTTGTAGTAAGGAATGCTAGGCTGCTAGCCTATTAGCAATCATTGTTTTGAGACGTCTCAAAACACTTCTTCAATCACGTGGAGGAGAATACAATACAGCAGTGTAGTGCAGTGCTTGTAGTTAGAAATGCTAGGGTGCTAGCCTATTTAGCAATCAGTAGTGCAGCGCAGCAGAGCAGTGTGTCTGACGGGCCAACACCCCATCATGGTACTTGGTGAGGCGGTGGCGGTCGGCAGGGGAAAGGCGGAGGGGCGGGGAGATGGGGAGGCGAGGGGCGAGGTGCAGGAGGAAGGCGAAGAGCGTGGCTGAGCGAGCATAGGCTGCTGCTGCCGACGCCATGTTTCCCATCAGCTCCTCAACCTGCGAGAAGGAGACGGGAGAGAGGGAGGATCAAAATGAGGGAACGAGAGTAGTGAAGTTCAATGTGGGGTGGTGAGGTGCAAGGTGTAGGAGGAAGGCGAAGAGCGTGGCTGAGCGCGCATAGGCTGCTGCTGCCGACGCTATGTTTCCCATCAGCTCCTCAACCTGCGAGAGGGAGACGGGAGAGAGGGAGGATCAAAATGAGGGAACGAGAGTAGTGAAGTTCAATGTGGGGTGGTGAGGTGCAAGGTGTAGGAGGAAGGCGAAGAGCGTGGCTGAGCGCGCATAGGCTGCTGCTGCCGACGCCATGTTTCCCACCAGCTCCTCCACCTGCGAGAGGGAGACGGGAGAGAGGGAGGATCAAAATGAGGGAACGAGAGTAGTGAAGTTCAATGTGGGGTGGTGAGGTGCGAGGTGTAGGAGGAAGGCGAAGAGCGTGGCTGAGCGCGCATAGGCTGCTGCTGCCGACGCCATGTTTCCCATCAGCTCCTCCACCTGCGAGAGGGAGACGGGAGAGAGGGAGGATCAAAATGAGGGAACGAGAGTAGTGAAGTTCAATGTGGGGTGGTGAGGTGCGAGGTGTAGGAGGAAGGCGAAGAGCGTGGCTGAGCGCGCATAGGCTGCTGCTGCCGACGCCATGTTTCCCATCAGCTCCTCCACCTGCGAGAGGGAGACGGGAGAGAGGGAGGATCAAAATGAGGGAATGAGAGTAGTGAAGTTCAATGTGGGGTGGTGAGGTGCGAGGTGCAGGAGGAAGGCGAAGAGCGTGGCTGAGCGCGCATAGGCTGCTGCTGCTGACGCCATGTTTCCCATCAACTCCTCCACCTGAGAGGGAGAGGTAAAAATACAGAGGAAGAACAGGGGGAGAGAGCTTTGAGTCGACTCAGAACACACATAGGCTGCTGCTGCTGATGCCATGTTTCCCATCAACTCCTCCACCTGAGAGGGGAAAGGTGAGAATGAGAGCGGGGAGAGGAAAACAACACAGTGGAATGAAGAGCGTGGCTGAACGCGCATAAGCTGTTGCTGCTGATGCCATGTTTCCCATCAACTCCTCCACCTGAGAAGAGCGATGGAAAGGAAGCAGCAAAAAATGAAGCAGGGGGGGTTGTATATGCGCTGCTGGCATGCTGCGGATGCTGTGTAGCCCAATACGAAACGAGAAAACAGAAGAGACATAGAGGCAGGAAAAAGACACATTGGGGACAGTCAGGGAAGTGGGAAGGGGAACTCACAGCAGCAGAGCGACCAGCGATGAGGGCAGTCTGATAGACCATCTCCAGAGCATCAGGCACAGGTGATGGGTCTGTGATGGTGGGGGGAAGGTTGAGAGGGGGGAAACAGATATGTCTCACTGAGGTGCTGTTTAGCCTCTGTGTAGCAGAGCTATCCGTCTCTGCCGTTTCAACAGCTGCCAGGAGGTCTGCTTTCACCAAGTCACATGGCATTGCTGCCGCTGCCTCCCTCTCTTCTTACCTACACCACAAACACATCACCAATCCCATCCATCCACCTGTACCGTACTCACCATCCCTGTCAACAGCAGCAGCAACCGCCTCTGCTGTCTCCACAGCTGCAACAAACTCTGCTTCTACCAAGTCGCATGCCATCGCTGCTCTGCTTACCTATGCAGTACAGTAGTATGTATGGATGGGATTGGTAGAAGCAGAGGCGGTATGGGGAAGCAGAGGCGGTATGGGGAGAGACCGTGGGAAATAATGACATTCTACTTACCTATGCAGTGCAGTAGTATGGGGAGAGACAGTGCAGTAGTATGGGGAGAGACAGTGCAGTAGAAAGTCATTATTTCCCACGGTCTCTCCCCATACCGCACTCACCGTCCCTGTCAACAACAGCGGCAACCATCTCTGCTGTTTCAACAGCTGCCAGGAACTCTGCTTCCACCAAATCACACACCATCGCTGCTGCTGCTTCCTCTTCTTACCTATACGGTATACCACACCTCATCAATCCCATCCACCCATCCGTACCGCACTCACCATCCCTGTCAACAGCAGCAGCAACAATTTCTGCTGTCTCAACAGCTGCAAGGAACTCTGCTTCCACCAAGTCACACGCCACCGCTGCTGCTGCCCACTTACCTATACTGTATGACATGACCTTCTTTCCCACTTCTTTCCTTATGTCGCACTCACCGTCCCTGTCAACAGCAGCAGCAACGGTCTCTGCTGTTTCAACAGCCGCCAGGAACTCTGCTTCCACCAAGTCACACGCCATTGCTGCTGCTGCCTCCTCCCCGCTCCCATGAGCGCCCATGCTGCCCCCATGGGCGCCAATGCTGCCCCCATGGGCGCCAATGCTGCCCCCATGTCCCCCCATGCTGCCCCCATGTCCCCCCATGCTGCCTCCATGCCCCCCCACGCTGCTGCTCCTGCGCACCGGGATCATTCCACCAGAACCACTAGAAGCACCCCCGTTATAAGCATCACCACAATGAGCACCACCGTTATAGGTATCAATGGTGGCATTGGTGGTGCTAGTGGCACTGGTGGCAGCCCATTCGTGGGAGAGCGTGAGAGCCTCTTTCCACACCGCGAGAGCGACCAGGTGGAGGGAGAGCGAGGCAAGCGGTGCTGCTGCTTCCAGCTGAAGAGGGGGAACGATGGGAGGTGGGAGGAGAGGCACAGGCATGGGAGAGCGTGAGAGCCTCTTTCCCCACCCCACCGCGAGTGCAACGAGGTGGACGGAGAGCGAGGCGAGCGGTGCTGCTGCTTCCAGCTGAAGAGGGGGAACGATGGAAACACAAGATAAAACACAGCAAGGCAACAAGGGGAAAGGGGAGATATCAGAACGGGAGAGGCGCACTGGTGGGAGAGTGTGAGGGCCTCTTTCCACACTGCAAGAGCAACAAGGTGGAGAGTGGTGCTGCTGCTTCTTGAGAATTCTAAAAAATCACTCGCAAGGAGAGTGGTGCTGCTGCTTCCAGCTGACACGGGGAAAAATGGGAAGACAATCAGAGTAGAAGGGAGTTATCAAAAGGAGGAGCGCGTGGTAGAGACGGGTGCGAAACTCTTTCCACACCGCGAGAGCAACAAGAGCAGGGAGAGCGGCACTGCTGGTACTTGTTTCCAACTGATATGCGAAGAGGTAAGTAAACGGGGAAAACAAAAAAAAGAAAAGAAAAGAAAAGAAAGAAAGAAAGAAAGAAAAAAACCATTGTACAGAAAAGTTTTATTTCTTACATAGAGCCATGATTCGAACGTCGCAATTGTGGCAACAACACGGGGAAAGGCTGAGAGCTTTCAGGTTCTAGAAACTCACTGCACTCCACTCGCGTTACAAGCAAAGAGAGAACTCTGCAATGCAGTGCGTCGGACTGCCATTGTAACGAACAGGGTGACCACTGGGTGGATCCAAAAGTCAGTGCACTAACTTTACTAGCACCACTCACTCACCTTGCTAGCAGCAATTTCTGCAATGTAACGCCCGCTTTGTCTGAGGAAGGCAATCCGCTCCTGAGGATGCTGCTGAAACACCTGCTGCTCCTGCTGTTGAATCTGCATCTGCTGCTGTGTCTGTCCTTTCTGCTGTTCATTCTGCATCAGTCCGCCTCTGTCCGGCTCCCCTCCAGCAGGCAAACCTGCTGCACTCAATGATGATGCAGCACTCACACTCACACCCACACCTGCACCCACATCGCTGCCGAGGCTACCAGGAGCAGGTCTGGCCAGAGAACCTGTGCGGGGCGTGCCGAGGCTAACAGCCAGAGCCAAGCCGGAACGAGCGTGGGATGGTGCTGGTGCAGTCGGGGGGGGTAAACTGGGAGATGGTGCGGTGGTGGGGGATGGTGCAGAGGCGGATGGTGCGGCGGCTGCTGAAGAGTTGTTAGTGGTAACGGTAGTGTTTGAAAACGGTGGGGTGGAAGACAGCAGGGTGGAAAACGGTGGAGCAGTGGTTCCAGTAACTGGTGGTGTGTCTGCTGCCTTGGTGAACCCTCCTGTACAGACCTTGGGACAGAAACCACTCACTTGCACTAGAGGCGCAGGTGCTACTGATACTACCACTTGTGACTGTACAGATGGTGTCTGTAACGAATGTGGCTGTACAGGTTGTGACTGTAACGAATGTGACTGTACATGGTGTGACTCTACTGATAGTGACTGTACACGTGCAGGATTATTTACAGGAGCTGCAGACGTAGGGAGGAGGTGGTTAGGAGGCAGGGGGAATAACGGTGGGGATTCTACGGGTGGAATTAACGGGCTGCCGGCAACAGCACCAGAGGCTGTAGCAACGGCTGTAGCAGCAGCAGCACCTGTACCAGATGTAGCAGCTGCAGCAGCAGGAGTTGTAACAGCATAAGCAGTAGCACCAGTTGTGGGAACCCGGGCTGAAGCAATCGGGTGGGCCGAGGAACCAGCTGTAGCAGCAGCAGCAGCAGCTGCAGCCCCCACTGCCCCTACAACAGCTGACAGTGCAGCTGCTGCAGCAGCAGGGAATGCCGAGGCAGAGCCTGCTGCCTTCACTTGTTGATGTTGGCTCGACTGGCTGAGAGATGGGTTGGCAGAGGCTGATTGGTCGGCGGACAGAGAGGGTTCGGATGGGTGGTCCACGACGACGTAGTCCCCTTCAAGCATCTCGAACGAGTCCGTGCCTCCTGGGAGTAAGGGTGAGAGGCAAGAACCTTGGCAAAAAAACTCGACCGGGTTTCACCCGACTCGAGCTCGAACTCGGTCGAGCTTTGGCGCAGACCGAGTCGAGTTTTACTCGACTCGGTCCGTAGCCCATGTCTAACGAGATGTATCAACCAAGATGGATGCTCCTGGGAAACTGCGTTCTGGATGCTCGAAGGAAAAGAGGCAAGTGCGGAGGAGAAATAAAAGTAATGGTACATAGCTGGGGAGGAGAAGAAATGGTACATCCGGCATCGCGTCCCGTTCACTGAAGGGGCAGAGAGGCTCACACCTTAAAAAGGAAGGGAAATAGCGCATCAAAGGACACTGCTGCACGCTGCATGCATCAAGGGGCATTGCTGCATGCACCTCTTTCATCTCCTGCTGGGGCCAACGATGCAGGCACCAACGGTGGTGCTGGCGACGGTGCCACTGCTACTGACAGTGGTACCATTGCTGCCAGCAATAATTTGAAACATCTCAAAATTCACTGCCACACGCACCTCTTTCATCCCCTGCAGGGAGCAGCGGTGCAGGCACCAACGGTGGTGCTGGGGATGGCGCCACTGCCACTGAGAGCGGTACCGTTGCTGCCAGCGATAGTCCGGCCAGTGTGGCTTGCACAGTTGTCTCTGCTGCTGGGGGTAGTACAGCCTCTGCTGCTGCTCCTGCTCCTGCTCCTGCTCCTGCTGCTCCTGTTCCTGCTGCTGCTGCTGCATCTACTCCCCTCTCTGGTTTCGACACAAGGGCTGAGTGATTCTGACGCTGCTGCTGCTGTCCCTGTTGTTGCTGGAACTTGGCATGGTGGCTGGACAGAGGACGAACCTCATATGCAGTGACAGCACGAGCAGGCAAAAGAGCGGGTCGGGCAGGAGAAGAGACAACGGCAGGTGGTGGGAAAGCAGGGACCGAAATTGGTGCCGCACTCTGTGCTGCTTCTGCTGGTGATGCTTCTCCTGTTGCTGTTGCTGCTTCTGCCGCTGCTGCTGCTGCTGGTAGTGTTGGTCCCCCTGCTGCTACTGCTGCAGCTGCTGAACTTGCTGCTGCTGCTGCTTCTGCTGCAGGTGCAGCAATGAAACCATCCCTTCCTCCTCTCTCTTCCCCTCTGCCTATCTCACCCTCTCCCTCTCCCCCTGCCCGGCCCTCACTCCCTTCCCTTCTCCCACTCCCTCCGCCCCCTCCCCCTTTCCCACTCCCTCCCCCGTCCCCTCCACAACCACCACCCACAGCAACCAAACCCCAGGGATCACTATCCTCCTTATAAGAATCCCCCCTAACAGCACCAGACATGTCACTATTTACAGTGGCAGCTGAAACAGGGTTAGAATCAGCAGGAAACGAGGGCCCAGGGGGAAGGTGTGGGGAAGCGGAGCGATATGGGGGCGAAGGCGGGGCGGAGAGAGGGGTAGCGCAGGGGGCAGGCAGGGCAGGGGGGTCGAGGGGAGGGGGAAACGGGGGAACAGGGGCAGGGGTAGTAAGGGAGGGGGGAGGCAGGGGGGTATGAGGTAGGGGAGTAAAGGAGGGGGAGGTTGGAGGAGCAGGCGCAACGCCCCCTGCACCAGGAGAAGCAGCAGGAGCCGAAGGGGTGGTGGCAGGGGTTGTAGGGGCAGAAACAGCTGCAGGAGGTTTGGAACTCTGTGGCCGAGGCGGAGGTTCGGCGGACGATGATGGAGGTTCGGCAGGGAACGGTGGAGGCTCGGTACGAAGTGGCGGAGGTTCGGTACGGAGTGGCGGTGGTTCGGTCTGAGCAGCTGGGTTGGTGAAGGAGGCTGGTGGTTGCCAGATAGACTGAGGGGAACTGATGTGTGAGCATGCAGGGAAGGGAGGGAGGGAGAGAGGGGGGGGAGGGAGGGGGCTTTTGAGGCGCCTCAGACGGTAGCTGGGTTGGTGAAGGAGGCTGGTGGTTGCCAGATAGACTGAGGGGAACTGATGTGTGAGCATGCAGGGAAGGGAGGGAGGGAGAGAGGGGGGGGAGGGAGGGGGCTTTTGAGGCGCCTCAGACGGTAGCTGGGTTGGTGAAGGAGGCTGGTGGTTGCCAGATAGACTTAGGGGAACTGATGTGTGAGCATGCAGCGAGAGGGGGGGGGGGGAGGCGGAGGAGGGGAGGGAGGAAAAGGGGGAGGGAAGGATTTACAAGGGGGACGAGAAGGATGGGGAGAGAGGAAAAGGCGGAGGAGGGGAGAGAGGATTGCTAAGATAAGAAAATGCGCCCATCGAGGCGCCTTAATAGGATTGCTAGGAATACTCGACATGGCGCAGCAGCAGCAGCAGCACGTGGGTGGGACAAGTCCTCATATAGCTCAAGAGAAACTTTTGAGACGTCTCAAAAGTCGTGGGTGGGACAAGTCCTCATATAGCTCAAGAGAAACCAAACAACCTCCCTCCCCCCCCCCCCCCCATCCCCCCATTCCCCCCCTTCTCCCCATTCCCTCCTTTCCCCCCATTACCCCCCTTCCCCCATGCGTACCTTGCTAAGCCAAGGAAGGGATGATTGAAGAACTGTTCAAATGACAGCCGCTCCACTGTGCGGCAAAGAGTAACAGGGGGAAGGACGAGATTTCACAGTACCAAGAGAGATTTTTTTTATATAATATCCACAAAAACGGAAACTCTTACAACGCAGGGACTTTCACACACAGAAAAACGGACTATTTCTGGCAGCGAAGGCATTTCAGGCGCTTCGGTTATTATCACGTTTGAATTCACCCAGGTTCCCGTTTGAGCAGAGAGCGGATTAGCCTGAAACAGTCATTGGAGAGAATTACAGCAATGCCACGTGACACGGTACCCTCGCCTCACCCGTGACTCTTGCCTGCAATCTACTTGCAGCACAACGTGGTTGAAGGGTGTTTTGAGAATTCTGAAAAACACCCTGCAGCGCCTCACCTGTGACTCTTGCCTGCTGCAATCTACTTGCAATGCAACACGATGTGGTTGAAGTTGAATAACCAAAGTGAATCACTCACCGGGGTTCCGCTTGAGCAGAGAGCGGATGAGCCGGAGGTGTGGGAGGGGAGGGGGGGGGAATGGAATGGGGGGTACCCTCGCCTCTCCCGTGACTCTCACCAGGGTTCCGCTTGAGCAGAGAGCGGATGAGACCAAGACAGTCGTCCGAAAGAGTTGCAGCAATGTCGCGCGGTACACGTGCCTCGCTTCTCTTGATGTTTTGCAGCAGCTGTGGTTGGTGAAAGGCAGGCAGGCAGGCAGGCAGGGGTGCAAGGGGGAGAGGGCAGGATTATGCGCGCGCATGTGATTTAGAGAGAGAATGTTGTTATGATTGTGCACTATCACGCGGAACCCTCGCCTCGCTTCTCTTGATGTTTTTAAGCAGCTGTGGTGGTGACAGGCAGGCAGGGGTGGAAGTGAGGGAGGGAGAGTAGGGATGAGCAATATGACGAAATTGTTCGAGGCGAACGTGTTCGGTGTTCGCCCGAACACGTTCGCCGTTCGCCCGGCTCAGCTCGCCGAGGCGCGTCGAACACGAACGTGTTTGTGTTCGACACAGGCCTTCGACGAACACCAATGTGTTCGTCGACGAATAGGCCCGCGACTAATAATTAGGTCGCGGGCCTTGGTGTTTGGGCTCAGATCTGGCCTTTCGCAGTTAGTAAAGTGCAGATCTAGCATTTCGCCGTTGCTTAAAGCTCGCGGCCCATGTTGTACAACTTTACTAAAGTTGCATGTTGGGAGGTGAGGGAGCAGGGTTGGAAAGTCGAGGTGTTGGGAGGGTTGAGGGCTTTGGTTTCGCCCAACTTCTCGCCAATCTCAAACACATTTCGCTGACTCAGCAGGCCCCAGGGGCCACTTCGCGTTTGGTTGCATGAGTCCCATATTGCACAAATACTATCCTTGCCAGTTTCCCACCCAACCCCCTCCGCAAACACTCTTTCAATTTTGCTAGCCAATCAGCTCAGTGTTTCAAATTGACTAGCCAATCAGCTTCCTTCGTACAACCCGTAACCTCAATTCGCAAAACCAGCGCCTGCAAACAACTGTCAATCAACCTTACGAAGGTTGCCCAGCGCGGCCCGCAATTTGGGTCGCGAGCTTTAAGTGCGGATCGAGCATTTCGCCGTTGCTTAAGTGCGGATCTAGCATTTCGCCGTTGCTTAAGTGCGGATCAAGCATTTCGCCGTTGCTTAAGTGCGGATCGAGCATTTCGCCGTTGCTTAAGTGCGGATCTAGCATTTCGCCGTTGCTTAAGTGCGGATCGAGCATTTCGTCGTTGCTTAAGTGCAGATCTAGCATTTCGCCGTTGCTTAAGTGCGGATCTAGCATTTCGCCGTTGCTTAAGTGCGGATCTAGCGTTTCGCCGTTGCACGCTGGCACTAGATGGATGAAGCAGGGCGGGACTGGCTTGGGAGGTGGGGGGAGGGAATGTGCAACGATTTGAATTTTACTCTAAATTGAATTTCCCCCTGGGCGAACACGATCATGTTCGCCACGAACATGTTCGTGTTCGTCTGTTGCAGCAATTCGTTCGCCTCCTAGGGCGAACGGCGAACACCTAGTGTCACTCAAGTCGTTCGCCGAACCGAACAGTGTTCGGTTCGGCAGAAGGCCATGTTCGTCAGGGGGCGAACACGAACATGTTCGAGTTCGCCCCCTGCTCATGCCTAAGGGAGAGTGTCAACTCACAAGCCACATTCGATAAGTAAGATGACCAGCGAGAACAACACACATGCCGGAAAAGTTCGCGCACACACACAAACACACACACACCCACACAACACACACACACAAACACCCACACAACACACACACACAAACACACACACACCCACACAACACACACACACAAGCACACACACACCCACACAAACACACACACAAACACACACACACACAAACACACACACACAAACACACACACACACACACACAAACACACACACACACACACACACACACACACACACACACACACACACGCACACACACACACACACAAACATAGGGAACAAGTGCTCGTGATACTCACATGCACGTGATTCTGACCGCCAAAAGGTGGTCGCCCCACGACAAGCTCAAAGAGAATGGCGCCCACACTCCACAAGTCCGCCTGGTGACAGTGAGGGGGAGAGGAGGGCAGTGAGGGCGAGAGGGAGGGACAGTGAGATAGAGAAAAGGCTTATTGAGTCGAGTCCAAAAGGTGGTCGCCCCACGACAAGCTCAAAGAGAACGGCGCCCACACTCCACAAGTCCGCCTGGTGGAGTGGCGAGACGGAGCAGTGAGGGCGAAAGAGCGACCATGAGAGGGGGGGGGAGAAGGGCGTTGCGAATGGAAGGGATGTCAGAATCCAGAAATGGGGGAGAAGGATGCAACGGGGAGTGATGGAGGGTAGAAGGAGGAAGGGGGCTGAGAGATGGAAGAAAATGTGTGACCACATACCAACCACTACCGTTCACTTTTTGCACTAGTGTCAGTCTGCCAAATCGCCTTCACATACACACCTTGGCGTCGTATCGCTGGCACTGCAGGATCTCTGGCGCCATGTACAGGGGAGATCCACACAGCGTCTCCGCCAGGCCCTGTGGCTGCAGCGACCTGTTGTGGTGTGGTGCATGGAGGAGACAGAGAGAGGGGGGAGGAAGGGTGCGGAGCAGAGGAGAGAACTGCCGCTTATGGTGCCAGCCAGCCATGTACAGGGGGGATTTTTGAGGCGCCTCAAAAAAAAAATAAAAAAATGAGGCGCCTCAAAAAGCGGAGCAGAGGAGAGAACTGCCGCCTATGGTGCGACCCAGCCATGTACAGGGGGGAAGCACACCACACAGCGTCTTCGCCAGGCCCTGTGGCTGCAGCGACCTGCCATAGGAAAAGTGAGAGGCGTCAAAATTGCACTCTGCTATGCAAACGGTGGCAGTTGGTGGATGGAACGGTTTGGAAGGGTTTGGAAGGGTGGGTGCCTGCCTGCCTGGTGAGAGATGTGATCGACATATGCTCTTGCTTGAATGGAGAACTGACCTGGCGAATCCGAAGTCTGCAATCTTGAGCACTGCAGCAGAGGTGCGCTCAGATAGCAGGAGGTTCTGAGAACAAGCGAGGCAGGGTGTAGTGTATGTATCACATGGGCAGAGACGGCAGAAACAGAAACCTGAGACTTTTGTTGGACTTTGACGATGCAGTTGTAATAAAATACGGCGTAGATGGATGGAATGGAGGAAAAAGAGGTTGTTTGCTCGCAACACTTGCAGCCCCGCCCCCAGCTGCCGCAGGAAGTGCCTTGCTGCCGCCTCTTTCACCGCCTCCAACCCATCTCACAAATCAGTCAACCACACTGTACACCATACCGACCTGGGGCTTCAAATCCCGGTGAATAAGGTTGTTGGCTCGCAGCACCTGCAGTCCCGCTCCCAGCTGCCGCATGAAGTGCCGGGCTGCCGCCTCTTTCACCGCCCCGCCCCGCCTGATGTGGTGCGAGAGGTCACCACCCGCGCAGTACTCCAGGACAAGGAACATACGCGACGAGGTCTGGAGTGGGGGGAGAGGAATAGACATAATTGCGGACAGGCAGGACACGGAAAATAACAAAATGCAAAGCAGAAAGGATGTGGGAAAGCAGAAGAATAACATCTAACAAAACACGGGAATAATTGCACAGTGCAATTCACTTCACTTCGCCTCCTAACGCTATACAGCTTATTTGACGCACTTAAAAAGTGCATCTTCAACAGAAATGACCCTTACCACACATTTTCAAATGCCTGAACAGTGCAACAGAGCTTCACAATGCCCGGCTCAGAAGCCACGCCCGTCTAATCTATTATAGGTGTCGTAAGTCGACTCATAAGCAAGCAATTGAGGCGCTACTGATATCATCTTGAGGTGCCTCGCGCGAATAAACATTCCCAGAGTACAGCTGAGGGCCTTTGAAAACTTTTAGGATAGCATAGCATATACTCTGCGGACAGCACTAAGCTATCCACCTCAATACCATACGCCAAAAACGACGTTGGGTGGCTAGCGCAACATAGAACCGCTAGAAGAGATATAACATGTGCTAAGCATGCACGGACGGTCATACGCACCTTAGCTATGTCCAACAGGTGGTTTATGTTGGGATGCCTCGCGCCGGGAAACATAAGGTGCTACGCATATTTGGAACGCCCAACGCACCTTAACTATGTCCAATAGATGAACGATATTGGGATGCCTTGCGCGTTTCAGAATCGCAATCTCCGACTCGAGACTCTCGTGCAGCTTGGCACTTAATTTCTCCGTCGGAATTTCCTTAATCGCCACCGCGTCGCCCGTCGACCGCCTCCTACCCCTCCACACCACGGAAAACGACCCCGAACCTATCTGCTTCTCCAGAACATAATCATCCCCCACGGGACGACCGCCTAAGCTTCCGCCTCCGCTTCCATCTCCGCCTCCGCCTCCGCCTCCCCCTAAGCCTCCCGCTCCACCGTCTCCGCCGTTTCCGCCAGCCTGAGCTGCCATTCCGCCTACTGCTGCTTCTCCGACGGTCCTCCCGGGAGTCGGAGGTGAAATAGGAGGTGTGATATGAGGTTGGTGACCTGCCATGAAATTTTACATGCCAGAGACTGGATAATTACCGAAAGATCAGGTAGCGAAACAGCTTATGACACGAAACGTTCCCAGAATCTGGTGCTGAAGATGTCGCTAGCTGCTAGTGACACTAGATATGAGGGTCGGAGCTTAGCGCGGCAGTGAGAATAGTGGTATGGCGGTCTATTGTGTGACAATAACGGAGGAACAAGAGAGCAGAGGTGAGGAACATGGGGGAGGGTGTTACGCAAACGAAGTGCCAGCTGTGATAATTCTGAGGACGGTGCATTAGGACATATGAATTGCTGGAAAAACCGAAGTGTATCTCGACATTAATGAGCAACTCACATACTGAACTCGAAGCGGTCTGTAGCATCTTCATTCGGAGCATCAAAGTGACAGAGGGAATTTAATTGGTCAGTCTGTTCTTCGTCAGCCAATAGCGTGCATGAAATCCTCAGAGCCTGATGGGATGGGTCACTTTCCACTTCACAATGACATCACCAAGCAGAAATCGTTCATCCTTCCCTCCAATGGAATACACGCGGACAAATCATGAAGTGTCCACCACCCTTCTGACCGTATCTAAGGGGGGTCCAGCTCGTACATTTACTGTTCGTAAACCCCCTCAGTTACCACATTTTTTGTGGTAACCCTTTATTGAACGTGTCCAGCGGACACAATCAGCTTCTGTTCGCAAGACGGCACGCCCCATGCACGTACCTAGAGTCGTCTGACTCACGTTACTGGAATCAGCAGGGACGCGAACAAGGGTACAGCACCGCGTCCTGGCCACTACAGTTCGTTTCCCTTGTATCGCTTGCACGATTTCGTAAGTGGTTCGCTCTACTCGCCAGCGCCCCCTGCGCCTGCACAAAAATTTTCAAGCTATGATTGACGAGGGAAACTGTTACCTCGTTTTCAACGTTGTCAGAGCACTGTTGATTCGTGTGGCGGGGGATGTGTCCGCGCTTCTGAAATTACAGGATGGTTGGACTCCACTCACAATGCATTCGTTTCTAGGTACGGTAGTCATTTTTGAACCTCGATACGTGCGTTGGCACGAAAAATCCCGAAATGAACGAGCTGGACACGCCCTGACCAGACGAATCAATTGCAACGGATAATGTGTCATGAAAATGTCACCTGACATTTTTCGCCTGACGGAAACACCCACATCGCTGCGTTGGAAAATCCTCCTGGGAACTCCTCCTCACCACAAATTCCCTTGAGAACGTTTTCAGTCACTCGCAAACTACCAACAATCAACAAAACCGTGGGAATCTCGGAATCAGCCTGTTCGAACGTAGGTCGTTTCACAAGCCTTATGATTTCCTGCGTTCCCGAAACGTAAGCTCGAACATCCTCTGCTGAGGTCGTTTTGTGTCCAGATCTCAAGGCTGCACCGTTTTTTCTCGTCGCGCAGGCTAATAAACTTCTCTAATTCCCAAGCTCGCGAAAGGATAGCTAATTCTGCTTGTCTATCTCTCTCGGGTTCATGGCGAATCAGAAGCAGCGTAGCTCTCTCTATTCAGCTGGTCACAGCGATGGTAAAGGCACTTTGCACAGCACTGCTGCCACCGGTACGAACACAAGCAATCGCCAAGGTACTATTCGACGGCCTTCAGCCATCGTGATTGGTAGCGGGTTCTCCGGACTGGCAGCAGCTCACGCGCTGCATCACGCATCGTTTGAGGTGCGATGTTTTCGTCCGTGATTGTTCCAGGATGTATCTTCGAGCCGGTCGTGCAATTCGATTACACCGAGAATCTACACAGTTCACATCCCAGGGAACTTGGTTCTGCAACTTTCATGCATGCAAAGGGTTCATCTTCCTCCAAAGCTCCTGAGAACATCATGGAACTCATCATGGCGGTTTTTCTGCAGTCTAATGGTTGTTCTGCAGCTTGACGCCTGACCTGCAACATCGTCAAAGCCACGATGCATTTGAACTATCAGGCTCTTTCATCCCCTTTCTCTTATTGTTCCATCCCTCCCTCTGGAACGTCTAACTTACTGGCTCCATACATTTCTCTGCTGACACCACGAATGGTGGTGACAGAGGCAAGGTTGAGACGTTTTGTCATTGCTAACAACGTGAAATCTCCTCTGGCCTGCGTTGCTCCCCATCTACGGCAGGTGGTGGTGCTAGAGGCAAGGAATCGCATCGGAGGTCGCGCTTTCACAGACTACTCTTTTGGCTTTCCGCTTGATCTAGGTGCTGCCTGGTAAGCGATTGTTCCCAACAGTGGTCTGTGAGTTCGTTACCAACACCCAGCTGGTCCCTTATTCATTCCTTCGTTGCGATTACCGTAACATTCATCAGTAAAGCTTTCCGACCACTGTTTCTCCAACCTGCTTACCCCCCCCCCCCCCCCCATCTCACCGTCCTCTCAGATCTACTCCTCCCCCGGCTTATCTGTCCCTCTAATGTACCTGTTTTCTCTCCCTTCTGCAGGCTGCACGGTGTTTCTGAGAGTAATCCGCTGGCTCGGCTGATCGCGGACCTCCAGCTTCCGCTTTACCGAACCAGTGGAGACGACTCGGTTCTCTATGATCACGACCTTGAGAGGTGGGTACTGGGAAAGCGTGGTGGTGGCGGTGGGTAGGATTGTGGTGTTGTGTTTCCAGCTTCCGTTTCACTGAGCCAGCGGGGATGAGTCTGAGCTCTATGATGGTCATGACCTTGAGAGGTGGGTAGGTGGCATGGTGCTGTGTGGTGCCGTGTGGACCTACGTGGTGGTGTCGAGTGCTGTACGGTGCTATATGGTGCTGTGTGGTGTTGTCTGGTTTTGTGTGTTGCTTAGTTCTAAGCTCGTTTTCCCTTCATTTCTCTGTTTCCAATACGCCTTCTTGAATCCCAAGGTGCAACTTCCCCTTCAACCCTCAACAGCATGCGTTGCTTTGATGCAAATGGACCCCCTCCCTTAGAAACTTCTCGAAACACAATCTGCAGATGGTGCTATCTCAACACCCCCCCCCTGTGTCCGTTTCAGCTATGCGCTGTACGATGAGGATGGGGTGAAGATTCCCCAGGACGTGGTGGAACGCGTAGAGAGGGTGTTCGAAGAGATGCTGGAAGAGGTACGCCGTGAGGGTCATCTGAAAAAAACATGTGCTTTTAGTCAATTGCTTATAAACGTCAACACCATGAGGACGTGGTGGAGCAGGTGTTCGAATAGATGCTGGAAGAGGTATGTTGTGAGGGTTCTCTGGGAAATCTATGTGCTTCCAGTCAAACTTCTAAACTTCTACCCCATAAGGAGGTGACGTGTTGGAGCGTGTGGAGCAGGTGTTCATAGCGATATGCTGGAAGTGTTGTCGCTGGAAGGGGTACGTCGTCAGTGTCCTCTGAATGCTGTCCATCCTTCGTTTCAGTATCCAGCTGAGTCTTCTCGCACGAGGAAATTTATGCCATGTTTCAAAGGTCGTGTACTGTAGGGTCCCCTGCATAGTGTCCTATCCATCCGTCATTTCAATATCCAACTGAGCCTCCTTGAACGAGAATATGCCAAGAACACGAACCATGCCTTGGCATCAGTGGAGCTGTTCTCAGGGAACATCATGTAGTCCTCCTTTCTCTCTATCATCTCATCTCCACACCACCAGACCTGGCAGCTGTGCTCTGACACAAGCAAGGACATACATGGAGCATGCCTTGGCATCAGTGGAGCTGTTCTCAGGGAACCTCATGTAATCCTCCTTTCTCTCTATCATCTCATCTCCACACCACCAGACCTGGCAGCTGTGCACTGACACAAGCAAGGACATACATGGAGCATGCCTTGGCATCAGTGGAGCTGTTCTCAGGGAACCTCATGTAGTCATCCTTTGTCTCTATCATCTCATCTCCACACCACCAGACCTGGCAGCTGTGCTCTGACACAAGCAAGGACATACATGGAGCATGCCTTGGCTCTGGTGGAGCAGCGGGGGGGCGGAGCTGAGACTACAGGCAGAGGGGAGGAGCAGCAGGTGATTAACGTTTATCTCTTACTCCTTTCTTTCAAAACAATTATCCCCACGCCACCAGACGCGTCAGATATGCGCCAGCACATGCGAGGACACGAACATGGAGCATGCCTTGGCACTGGTGGAGCAGCGCAGGCCGGACCTGACACTACAGGGTGTGGAGCGGCGGGTGCTGCAGTAGTAGCTCAGTCCTCTTTCTCTCTGTAATATCATCTCATTGACCAAACAACAGACTCGCCAAATTTGCAAGAACACGAGCGAGGACATGAACATGGAGCATGCCTTGGCTCTGGTGGAGCAGCAAGTGTTGCAGTGGTACCTCTGACCTGGCCCTTTCCTCTTTCTCATCTCATCTCCACACCACCAGACGCGTCAGAGATGCGCCAGCACGCGCGAGGACATGAACATGGAGCATGCCTTGGCACTGGTGGAGCAGCACAGGCCGGACCTGAGGCTGCAAGGGAGGCAGGGATGGGAGCGGCGGATAATGTAGAGCTGCAAGTATTGCAGTGGTACCTATGATCTGGCCCTTTCCTCTTTCTCCTCTCATCTCCATGTCGCCAGACGCGTCAGATATGTGCCACTACAAGCGAGGACATGAACATGGAGCATGCCTTGGCTCTGGTGGAGCAGCGCAGGCCAGACCTGACACTACAGGGTGTGGAGCGGCGGGTGCTGCAGTGGTACCTGTGCCGCATGGAGGGGTGGTTCGCTACAGACTTGAAGAATCTCTCTGCCAAATGCTGGGAGGAGGTGGGTCGGGTCGTAGGGGCTTGTGGTGTGCTGAGAGGAATGGAGCATCAGCATCCCATTATGCGGCTCATCCCATCATGCTGCTCATCCCATCATGCGGCTCATCCCATCATGCTGCACGCACGCACAATATGGTTGTAGGATGATCTAGTGGAGGGGGGTCACGGCCTCATGGTGAAAGGCGACCTGCCTGTTCTGGGTGCCGTGCCGTGGCTTCCCATCTGGCCTCGTGTGCTCTTTATCCCATTCTGCTCCTCACGTGCGTGCTGCTCACTCCATCATGCTGCATGCAGGAGGATCTAGTGGAGGGGGGTCACGGCCTCATGGTGAACGGCTACCTGCCAGTGCTGGACGCCCTTGCTTCCCATCTGGCCTCTTGGCTCGTTATCCCATTCTGCTCCTCACGTGCGTGCTGCTCACTCCATCATGCTGCATACAGGAGGATCTAGTGGAGGGGGGTCACGGCCTCATGGTGAACGGCTACCTGCCTGTGCTGGACGCCCTTGCTTCCCATCTGGCCTCTTGGCTCGTTATCCCATTCTGCTCCTCACGTGCGTGCTGCTCACTCCATCATGCTGCATACAGGAGGATCTAGTGGAGGGGGGTCACGGCCTCATGGTGAACGGCTACCTGCCTGTGCTGGACGCCCTAGCTGCTGGGCTGGACATTCGTTTCAATCACAGGTGATGGCGTGATGTGATGTTGTGGTGGCCCTGGAGACGTGTATGTGAGCATGTGCACTCGATAAAGTCACGAAATTATGTGTTTTGGGCTCATTACGAAAGTCATTTGACATCTGTTGCAGTTACAGCAAATCCTTTCCTTCACTGCTTTTCCTTTTCCTGCCCGCTTCATTCTTTCTGACCCGCTTTTTCTCTTTCCCGCTTTCTTTCTCACAGAGTGGTCAACATTGACTGGTCCTCGTCACAGGATCTGGATAGATCAGTATCCGGAGGGATAGGAACAGCAGGGGAGGTGCTGGCTATGAGGGTAGAGGCAACAGGCGTAGGTGCAGCAGTGCAGGCAGGGCAGCAGCAGGGCAGCCATCAGTGTAACAGACTCACCGAGCAGGGTTCCGCTAACCACCGCATACCATGTGCTAGTCTCAGGTGCACTGGGTGTAGAGAGTGCGTTTTCGGCAGTAGTAACAGTATGCACGACACCAGAAGCGGAATTAGCAGCACATGTAACCCTGTAAGTCCTGCTGCTGCGGATGCACGCTGCTCGCCTAGCTGTCACATGTCCCAGAATCCCGGTTCTTGCACTAGTGAAGCTGTAGCTGACGTCAGTATGCCGTGTAGACCCGGTGTCCACGTCACCACGGCTGACGGCACCATCTTCTCCGCTGACGTGGCGGTTGTCACCCTGCCAGCTGGCGTTCTGCGGTTGTCTGTGGGCCACGTAGGCAGCTCAAATCAGGAGATTCCCTTAGCTGAGTCAGCCAATGGTGATAATCGCAGCAACTGTAGCAACTGCAGCAACTGCAGTAACGGTAACGGCAGTAACAGCTGTAAATGCAGTAGCAGCAGCAGAATAGGCAGCAGCAGCAACACCCATCCGTCCACCACCCCTACCCACCCCAGCCGCATCCACTTCTCCCCTCCTCTCCCGCCATCCAAATGCACCGCTCTCCACTCCATCGGAGTCGGAATCGAGAACAAAATCGCGCTCCTCTTCCCCTCCTGCTTCTGGCCCTCGGTGGAATTCCTGGGAGTGGTAGCAGACACACCCTACGCATGCAGCTACTTCCTGAACCTGCACAAGGCCAGCCAGGGCGAGAGGGCAGTGCTGGTGTTCATGCCGGCAGGGCGGCTGGCAGAGGAGATGGAGGGGATGGGGGAGAGCGAGGCTGTGGCGTTCACCATGCTGCAGCTTAGGAAGATTCTGCCCCACGCGCCTGAACCTGTAAGCACTCTCCCCTGAAACACTGGCTTCCTCTCACCGGATTTTTTTCTGAACGGGTTTGTTTGTGTGGTGAGTGAGAAGGGGAGGTTTACGCCTTTAGGGAGGTTCGTTGTAGAGGCGAGCCGGGGCGAGAGGGCGGTGCTTGTGTTCATGGCGGCAGGGCGGCTGGCAGAGGATATGGAGGAAATGGGGTAGTGTGAAACCATTGCATTCACCATGCTGCAGCTTAGGAAGATCCTTCCTATGTTTGCATTCGCTCAGGTTTGAATGAAGATTTCTTACCTATTCAATCCCTACTAGCCTAAAGCTCAGCCTAGAGAAGATTAGGACGAGTTACCTGTTGGATCCGAGTCGAAACTATTGCCGTATCCTTCCCCACGCGTCAGAATCTGTGAGTATGCTCCCCCGAAGCACCAGCAGTGCGTGAGTGTGGGGGTTCCACTCTTGGTGTTTCCATCCCCTCCTCTCCCTCCCTTCTGTTTCTTCACTTCTCCCACCCCCCATGCAGATCCAGGCGCGCATCACCACGTGGGGGTCAGATCCCTTCTCCCTCGGATCCTACTCCTACGATGCAGTGGACGCCCCTCCTGACGTCTACGATTCCCTCCGCGCCCCCCTCCCTCCCCTCTTCTTCGCCGGGGAAGCCACCTCACGCGCCCACCCTGGCACTGTTCACGGCGCGTTCTCCACCGGGCGGCAAGCTGCAAGAGAGGCGGCGGAATTCGTCCGGTTTTTGGGTTTCGGGGAAGGGCCGAGGATGGTAAGGAAGGATGAGAGCAAGAAACACGTGGCGCTGCTGCCACAGTCAGTGGTATCAGGAGGAGATGTGACTGGGGAAGAGAGCATTTTGTCTCATGTGGAAGCTTTTGGGAATGGTTCCGAGACTCACAACAACTCACTTGAGCAAGGGCAAGTGGGGGACAGCAGCACTATGGATTCCAGTCCATCGTCGTTGACTCAGCATGTGGTTTCCGGGGAAATCGAGGCAGGTCAGTCCAATCAGAACGAGGATGGTGCATCGAGTTTTGGAGCGCTATCAACAAGAAGACCTTGGAACACGATGGATGTTTCGCTGCCTGTGCATGTGATAGAAAGTAACGCTGAGTGTTCTCACTCAAGGGCTGTTTCTCGGGCGGGAAAGGCACTCTCAATTAGAATATCAAGGCTGTAGATGAGTTTCTGTAGGCCAGGGCTCAGGTTTGCAGTGTAATTTACCCTTCTATACTGATTACAAGGGTGAATTTTTGGGTCTACACTGATGTGCTGGGGTAATTTTTTGGTGAGTTAGTGTTACACTGATCTGTAAGTGTAATGATTTAGGCCACACTGATGCTCTGGGGTAATTTTTCCCTTAGCGAAGATTACCCTGAAGAGCGTACAGGGACTCCCCCCCCCCCCCTCGGAAACTCTACTGATTGAGAAGAAGTTTCCTAGAACCTTCGTAACGATACACCCAATTTCGTAATGATGCACTACGACGCCAGCACACGTGAGTACTGACAACCGACACCGTGTCACTCCGTGTCTGCTTGCAACCTACCCGTTACTGTAGAGGCGATGCAACCTGATTGGTCGAAGCTGCACTCTCTGCAAGAACGTCAACTTTCTTGACTCGGAAATTTGGGACTCGAGGTTTCCGAACACACTCGAAATTTGCTGACTTGGCGAAAAATACAAGTGTTGCAGCGAAACCAGACAAGCCACTGCGCTCGACTTTTGAGTTCACATCACAACTCCCACCCACCAGCGCCCAACTTACGATAGTAATCGTGCGCGATTTGGGCCTCGAGCTTGATTGCAACCAGCACATATTGAGCAGCCTAAAGTACAATCAGGGTTAAAAATATTCCTACACTGATGCCTCTGGGTAAAGTTTTCAAAACTTCAAGTTACACTGATCCATCAGTGTTTCCAAAAAGGGCACACTGCTCAGAAGGGTTTTGAAAATGTCTACACTGCTAATCGTGAGTAGGCAAAATCCAAACCTAAGCCCTGCTGTAGGCTGTATATTGCAATGCTTATTGTGGCTAAATAGCCAGTTATTATATAGTATTCTCTCTCCCTACACCGAACCAGTCGGTAATGAGTATTACAACCTCCCTCTCCTCCCCCTTCCCTTTCCTCGCAATCATCGCATTCCCTTCTACGATGGCCGAAAATAGAGTGCGCGAGAATTTAGCACAATTACAGCTGGGGCTGCTTTGTACCACAAGTTGTACCGCAGGGCGAACTATCCAGGAATATATGGATCCCCAGACGGGGAACGTGCATTTCGTGGCGACGTAGACAGGCGCACGCGAAATAGACAAGCGCCTGGCAATTTTTTGGATTTGCCCGACGAAAATAGACAGGACACAGACGGGCGAAAAAAACGTCCACATATAGTTATAAAAATATGGTTCACGAAATTTCGCCAACATTTCGTGAATATTTCGCTCGGCGTGAACAGTGACACAGCGACGGTCGCCACATGGGGGTTGTCGGGACATTATATAGCTTATACATTTGTGTAGGCTGTAGTGGGGTATCCCATAGGGGGTACAACCCAATTAGGGTTAGTACTTGTACCCACTTCATTCATAGGTCATTCATTCTCGTTCATTTTCACATGGTATCAGAGCACATCTGCTCCTGGCCTGTGGGCCCTACTACTACTTCCGCTGCTACTCGATCTGTCGCACGCCCCGTGGCGTGCGACATATATTTCGCGCGCGGCGATTTTCTCTCTGGCGCGCGCCCCGAGGCGCGCGGCCCCGTTCCTTCTAGGCGCGCCACTCCCCGCTACCCCGTCGCGGCGCCCTGGGGAGCCGCGCGCGACCCCTCGCGGCCCCATCTCGTCGCGCCGCCCTAGCGGCCGCGTCGCGCCGCCCTCGCGGCCCCGATCCGCCGCCCTAGCGGCCCCGTCACCTACCCCAGCGGCCCCGGCGCTGCCCTTCCCAGCCCCGGCGCCACCTCTGCTGGCCCCGACGCCGCCCTTCCCGGCCTCGGCGCCGCCTCTGCTGGCCCCGTCGCCTACCTCTGCGGCCCCGTTGCCGCCCTTCCCGGCCCCGGCGCCGCCTCTGCTGGCCTCGTCGCCTACCTCTGCGGCCCCGGCGCCGCCCTTCCCGGCCCCGACGCCGCCTTTGCTGGCCCCGTCGCCTACCCTGCGACCTCGGCGCCGCCTCTGCTGGCCCCGTCGCCGCTCCACCCGGCCCCGCCGCCGTCCCCAAGCAGCCCCGCCGTCACCACCGAGCCGCCGAGCTGCTGCCGAGCCGCCCGAGCCACCAGGTCGCCGAGCCGCCGAGCTGCAGTTGCCACCGAGCTGCCTGAGCCGCCCGCACCGCCGAGTCGCCGAGTCGCCGAGCCTGCTCTTCCCGCCACTGGTGAGCCCCTGCCCTGCTAGCGCGCTGCCCGCCGCCTGCTTGCCTGCCTGCCTGCCTTTCGGCCTACCTGGCTGCCTGCCTTACTGCTGCTAGTCCTGCTCCTACTTCTACTGGCGGAGCCAGATGCAGCCCCAGCGACGTCCGCGTGAGTCCCTCACGCCCCAGCAGCTGCGTGAGTGGTACGCTGGTTGGGGTTGTAGGGGTGGCGGCGCTGCTACTGCTACCACTACTGCTGCTACTACTACTGGCGGCGGCCAGATGCAGCTCCAGCGACGCCCACGCGCGTCTCTCACGCCCCAGCAGCTTCGTGAGTGGTACGCTCAGAGTAGAGGGTCTCTCAAGTCTGTTCGCTGCTCTTACGTGATTCGCACTGGTGCTCGGACTGGTCAGCCTTGTGGGACACCTGGTCACACACAGTCTCGCTGCTTCGCCCGTCTGAGCGACGCCTGGCGTACCGAGTTTGGCGACGAGGCTGAGCTCCCCGACTGGGTGGAGTTGCTTAGGCAGAGGGTAGATATATTTGCTCTTGACTATGATGCTATTCTCACTGCCATGTATGCATTGCCTACTAGTGCTGACCGTGCCGGTCACCTGTGTGTACCGCCTGACCCGGGTACAGAGCCTGCTGCTCTAGCTGCTGGTGAGGCTGCTGCTCTGGGTGCTAGTGAGTCTCCTGCTCCAGGTACAGGTGCGGCTGCTGCTCTAGGTGCTAGTGAGTCTTCTTCCTCAGGTGCGGGTGAGTCTGCTCTCTCAAGTACCGCGTCGGCTCCGGCCTCTCACACCTTCACTCTTGACTCGGGGGCTTCTCGCTCCTTCTTTCGAGACCGCACCACACTCACGCCGCTTGGTCGGCCAGTTGCAGTCTCTCTGGCAGACCCCTCTGGGGGTCCTGTCCTTGCTCACTTCTCCACTGTCCTCCCGTGTCCGGCGGCCCCCTCTGGCACCCTGTCTGGTCTTTACCTCCCCTCGTTCTCTACGAACTTGGTGAGTGGTGCTGACCTACAGGATGCGGGGATTCACCAATTCACTCCTGCGAGTCAGCGGGTGACCCACTGCACGGATGCTCGGACAGGCCGACACCTGGCCACGTTTACACGTCGGCCGGGGTCGAGCCTGTACACACTGACCACTGCGTATCCTCCAGTCACTGCGTCTGGTCAGGTAGCTGCGTCAAGTCAGGTGTTTGCTGCAGCGTCCAGGTCTGGTCCTGAGTCTGCCCCCTGCTCGTGTCGTCTCCTGTCTCACGAGACTCTCCTCTGGCACCACCGCCTTGGTCACCCCTCCCTGCTTCGTCTCGGAAGCATGGCCTCTCGTGTCCTTGTCTCTGGTCTTCCCCGGTCCCTCCCTCCCCTTCCTCCGGGGCCTGGCCCTACCTGCGTCCCCTGTGTTGAGGGGCGGCAGCGGGCTGCCCCTCACTCCTCTCAGTTTCCTCCGACAGAGGCCCCGCTGCAGACGCTTCACATGGACGTGTGGGGCCCGACCCGCGTCCGTGGACAGGGTCACGAGCGCTACTTCCTGCTGGTGGTTGACGACTACTCGCGTTACACCACAGTCTTCCCCTTGCGCAGCAAGGGTGATATCACTGAGGTGTTGATCGACTGGATCCGCGCAGCTCGTCTCCAGCTCATGCGGAGCTTCGGCTCGGACTTTCCTGTTCTGCGTCTGCACTCTGACAGAGGCGGAGAGTTCTCCTCTAGCCTTCTGCGAGCCTACTGTCGTGCACGAGGCATCCGCTAGACCTTCACGCTTCCGGACTCTCCACAGCAAAATGGGATTGCTGAGCGCCGCATTGGCATGGTCATGGACGTCGCTCGTACGTCCATGATGCATGCGGCTGCCCCCCATTTTATGTGGCCGTTTGCGGTCCGGTACGCGGCGCATCAGATCAACCTTCAGCCCAGGGTCTCCATGTCGGAGACCTCCCCAGCTTTGCTGTGGACGGGGAAGATTGGCGATGCGTTTGCGTTCCGTGTCTGGGGATCTCGGGCGTTTGTCCGCGACTTGTCCGCGGACAAGCTGTCCCCTCGTGCTGCTCCCTGCGTCTTCCTTGGCTTCCCCCCTGACGCGACAGGGTGGCAGTTCTACCACCCCACCTCTCGCCGTGTTCTGTCCTCCCAGGACGTCACGTTCGACGAGTCGGTCCCCTACTACCGTCTCTTCCCCTACCGCATTCCGTCCCTCCCCCCGCCACCACTCTTCCTTGTGCCAGGTCCCCCCCCGGTAGACCCCCTCCCCCCTCAGGGCCCTGCCCTTTCAGGCGTGTCCAAGGTAGACGCTGTTGAGCCTATCGAGGTCGCTGGTGACTCTGGTGCTGCTGAGGGTGCTGAGCCTGGGGGTGCTGAGCCTGGGGGTGCTGACTCTGGGGGTGCTGAGCGTGTGGGTGCTACGCCTAGGGGTGCTGAGCCTGGGGGTGCTGAGCCTGGGGGTGCTGAGCCTGGGGGTGCTGAGCCTTGGGGTGCTGAGCGTGGGGGTGCTGATCTTGGGGGTGCTGAGCCTGGGAGTGCTAAGCCTGGGGGTGCTGAGCCTGGGGGTGCTACGCCTGGGGTGGCTACGCCTTGAGGTGCTGAGCCTGGAGGTGCTGAGCCTGAGGGAGCTGGGCCTGCTCGTGTTGCGTCTGGCGGTGCTGTGCCTGGCGGTTCTCTGGGTGCTTCGTCTCGCCGGGAGCCACTCTCTCCACAGGAGCTACGTGAGTGGTTTGCCTGGCGCTGGAGGCGAGCTGCTGGAACTAGGGGTGGTGCGGGTACTGGAGGTTTTGCTGCTGCTGAGGGTGCTGGTGCCGCGAGTCCCGGAGGTGCTCGTACTGGGAGTA